ATATTTTTTTATATATATATAAAGTATATATATATACTTTACTTAACTAGTCTCAGAATGGGATCAACATTGCTGGTGTAAAGTAAAAGACACTAAGAAAAAAAATTCTTATTCCCTCTTGCTTTAGTCTGTTCATGTTGAATTTGTCTCCAACAACTAATATTAATAATCTCTCTCTCTCAGTCTCTCTCTCTCTCTCTCTCTGCCCCTCCCCTCCTCTACCTCTTGGAACCTAAGAATTAACACAAGTCCATGGCCCGTCCATTTGGGCTCTAATAAAGAAGCTGGGTACTCGGCTTATACCTTCTATGTCTCATTTAGTTCTTCAATACAAATTATTTACTTACTTCTCGGCCTCCAATTACCATAAATTCTCAGAATTTCAAAAATCCACACACCTAAACTTTTTCCTGTGTATTATTAACTAAAAAAAAAAAATTATAATTTAATTTCAACATTAAAACACTGTCAAAAAGTGCTTCTGGGAAAGCACTTTAGTGGTATAATTCATAAGCATCAATTATCCAGTTCTTAACTTATTTATATAAATTAACTTTATATAAAATTTAACTTACTATCTTTTTCTTCTGGGACTTTAAATCATCCAATGCTTCATCTAGAAAACAAGATTTAAATCAAAGCTATATCAAATATTAATATGCTTAGATATGAGCCTCAATCATCATAAATAAACTACATGACACAAACACATGAAAATGTTCATGATTTATCTAAATTACTCACATAGTAGAGATTAAAAACTATTTTAATACCTACAACTGTATTTCATGATTTAAAAAAAATTTAAGTGAACTTTATATAGACAAAATTCTTCTCCCCCCCCCCCCCCCCCCGAGAAAGGGTTTCTCTGTGTAGCCTTGGCTGTCCTGGACTTGCTTTGTAGACCAGGCTGGCCTCAAACTCAAAGATATCCTCCTGCCTCTGCCTCCCTGAGTGCAGGGATTAAAGGCTTCCACCACCACACTCAGCTGACAAAATTCTTAATATTTTTTCAGAAACAATACTTTCACTTCTCTTTGAACATTCCAGCCACTTTAATTTACATATACCAAATCTCCTTTTATATACTGATAATAAAAATATTATTTCCATATTTTAAAAAATACAGACTTGTGAAAATCTTTATTATACCTGAGAAGAGACTTTTAAAAATTAAAGATTTCTAAAATTTGCATACTTACTCAATTTGCCATAACAGAACATGAAGCAGCATGTCAAAAACTATCCTTTAAGTCAGGTGTGCTGCACCCTTTTAATCACAGCAAGAGGCAGAAAGATCTCTGTCTTTTCAAGTCCAGCCTGGTCTACATAACAATTTCTAGATGCCAGGTCTACATAGTAATAAAATAAAATTTTAAATAAAAATAAACAATTTTGGAGAAAAAAAAGGAAAGGTTGAAGAGATGGCTCAAAGATTAAGGGTACATGTTGCTCTTGCACAGGACCCCAGTTCAAGTACAAGCACCCACATTATGGCACCATCATTCTTAATCCCAGTTCCTGGGGATCTGATAGCTCTTCTGACCTCCACAGGCCCCAGATACTCACAGTACACATACATACATGCAGGCAAAAACACACACTAAATAAATCTTTAACAAAAAAGAACCCCTTTATAAATACATTAAGTTTCTAGTTTTTCTATAGAAATGAAATACATAATTAGCAAAAATAAAACTCCTGCAAGTTGGTCCCTGGCCTTCACATGTACACTATGGCACATGTATGTCCACGTACAAACACAATAAATAATAATGTAGTTTTTTAAAAAGAAAAAATCAATTTACTATATAAGACTATATAACAGTTATCAGTACACATTTGATCTGGTAATCAAATTTAGTGTATTCAAGGAGCTGGAGAGACAGCTCATAAGTTAAGAACATCTTGCATACGACCAGAGTTTGGTTCCCAGCACCCACATCAGGCAGTTCACAATAACCTGTAACTCCAGTTCCAGTGACTCAATACCCTCTTCTAGCCTCCACAGCAGTTGTACATACATGTAGCATATAAACACATGTAGGCACACACACACACACACACACACACACACACATATAATAAAACTTTTTAAGTAAAATAATTAAGTGTATTCAAATAGTATTTGTCAGAGATTAAGCATGTAATCATATTTAAGCAGAATAGTGTTTGCCAAATAAGGTGGGCAAGGAAAAGTATTGAAAGAATCAAAAGTATCTGAAAATAAGTGGTTACTTGAGGTAGAACACATATCCTAAACTGGAAAGAAGTAAGATCATTTGCAAGGAATGTGTTTGTATCATCTATTTATACAACCTTGTTTACATACTGAAACAAAATAATTTTGAAACAAGTAACACTTATAAAACTACTAGAAACTTTATATTTTATATTACTACTTATTAATATTTCTAAGTATGATAATGTATTACATTTATATTTTCTTTTTATTTATTTATAACACTTTATATTTAAGTTTTATTTCTCTATTGTAAGATATTCTTCAAAGCAATATAAGCAGTGAGGAAGGTGAAGGCAGAAACAAAATTAAGATAGACCATGAGTTGATAACTGTTTAAGTAGGCTAATAGGTATACAAGAGTTCAGTAGAATACACTTTTGTACGGTTAAAAAAAAAAAAAAAAAGAGCACACCAAATAGAAAGTTCATTTAAGATAAACATATACATCTTATTGAACACAGAGAAGCTGAGCAGTGCTTAGCTAGAGCCTTCACCCTAGTGACAACTATTGTTCATGGTACTGGATGGTACTCTGCACAGTGCAGAGGAGAAAGGCCAATGCCAACCTAGCTGTAAACCCTGTGGTCTACAATGATGACTTCTTGGCTTGACAGGCTAGTGCAATAATGGCACAAAAGCTGTAGAAGTAACCAATCACTCTCTGATTGGATTTAAGGCCCACTCCAGAAGATGGACTGACACTACTCAGGTGTCCAAAAACCTGAGAAGAGAAAGGCCATGGACCTAGGAGAAAACCAAATACTATTTTATTTGTTCTCCTAAAGCAGCAGTTCAACCTATACGTCACTGACCCCTTGGTGGGGAGGTGAAATGACCCTTTTACAGGAGTTGCTTAAAGCCATCTGTATATCAAATATTTATATTATAATTCATAACAGTAACAAAATTAGTTATGAAGTAGTAACAAACATTGTTATGGTTGGGGGTCACCACCATGAGGACTGCATTAAGGAGTCGCACCATTAGGAAGGTTGAGAACTACTGTGCTAAAGGAACATAGCAATAAAAATGACTCGTAATGACATTCTGCTATACACATAGATCAATCAGTACCTCACTCAACCATCAACGGAGAAACGTTCTCTTGTAGTAGATGGGAACTAACACAGAGACGCACAACTGGACAAAAGTGCAGAGAGTAAGGAACTTTGAAACATTCCATTCTAAATGGGTTGTCTTCATCAAACCTCTACCCTTAGGGCCCAGGAAGCCATGTGGTAGAGGCAGTGCAGAGCTAGAGGGGACAGATGGCACCAAGGAAACAATGTCTTCCAGACAGAATAGGGCAGATGCATATATGAATTCACAGAGACCTGTAGCAGCATGGACAGGGCTTGCACAGACTCAAGCCAGGCATGGTCTCAATGCTGAAAGGTAGATGTGGACACGATCTCTCTGACCTAGCCCAAAGCTATATCCAAATGACATCATCTTGCAAAGAAAAACTTAGTTTCCTCCAATGGAGTCTAACTGGGCATATTAGCCACACTTTAGGGTAGGCCCCATGTGCAGCAGTAGACAGTCAACACAAAATGAACTCAGAGGTATTTTTGCAGACTTTTTGTCTCATATTTGCTTTGTTTGAACATTTGTTTTTTTGTCTTACCAGTCTTTTGCTTGTATATTATGATTTCTGATTTTGTGTTTTTATGGATTTTTTTTACGTATCTGAGTATGTGTGTTTCTTACGATTGTTCTTTGTTTTTGCTTTTGTATTGTTTTTCTAATTGCCTATTTGTTTTCTAAAGAGACACAGAAAAGGTGTGGATCTGGTGGATGAAGAAGTGGGGAGAATATGGGAGGAGTTGAGGCAGAAAAAACAGTGATCAGAATATATTGTCTGAAAAAAATTAATAAATGTTTAATTCTGATTGAGATACTTTCATTTTGTTTTTCAGGACAGGGTTTTCCTGTGTAGTCTTGGCTGTCCTAGAACTCATTCTGTAGACCAGGCTGGCCTCAAACGCATAGAGATCCAACTGTCTCTGCCTACCAAGTGATGCCATTAAGGGTGTACATGCACCAACATAGCCTGGCAAGATACGTTTTAAGACATGAAAAAAAAAAAAACTTATACATATATAAAACATATACAGAAGCAAATTTTTGTATTTGTATATTAAAACAAAGCTAAAGGGCTGTGAGGTTAATGAGAGTAATACAGTTACGAGAAAAGGCCAGAGAAATCGCTCAGTGGTTAAAAGTACTGACTGCTCTTCCAGAGGAAGGTTTAACTCCTAGCACCCACAGTACCACTCATAACCATCTATAACTCTGATCCTAAGGGATCCAATGACCTCTCCTGCATTCCACAGGTACCAGGCACATACATGATGTACAGACATACATGCAGGTAAAACACCCATACATAAAAAAATGAATAAAAAGAACAAGAGTATGTATACTACATTTTACTGTGTACCACTGTTTCCCACAAAGATTAATTTAACAAATTCAATCTGTTTTAACTTAAAAAAGTCTGTTGTGTTAAAAAAAAAAATCTAAACAATACTCATGAACATTGTTATGTTGTATAGCAAACAATTCTCATACTTATCATACTATCATCTCAAAAACAACATCATGACTGGCTCATAAAATAGCATTCAGTAAGATGAGTTTGTCTGTTTATTTACTATATATTTTTTAAAAAAACACGTGGAACTTAAACTTACTATTTCTCTCTGTTCTCTTGGAAAAGAAGAAAATAAGCACAGTTCTTATGGTCCAGATGCTAGAGAGGAAGCAAAATTCAAAACAAATCCGTCATTACAAGAGGTGAATCAGAATCCAAGATGAAAGTAACAGTTCCAATTAGAGTTAAGTATTTCTCTCTACACATTGAAAATCAAACATACTATGTTCTGCCAAGGAATACCAGACACTTGCCTGAGCTTTCAATAGAAGAGTGCTCAACCTAGGTTCCATGAGCCTTCTGAGGGTTCCCCTTAGAATTATAAAATTGCCTTTCTATGTATGAATACATTTCTCTAAAGAAACCATTGCTTTTGTCAGTTTCTGAAAGGTCAATGAATCAAAGGCATTAAAAACAGTATAACAGATTTTTTCTATATTTTGTTTTATTTTCATTTATGTGTATGTGTCTGTGTGTTAGTATGTACATATGTGTGGGGATGCCCAAAGAAGCCAGAAGGTGTGTAATCACCTGTAGCTGAAGTTACAGTTGTAAACCTACTAACATAGATTCTGAGAACTGAATTCAAGTTCTCTGCAAGAGTAGCATAAGCTCTTAACCACCAAGCCATCTCTCCAACATCAAAAATGCTAAGTATCAATATCAAAAACTTTTCCTATAATTTCCTTGTGTTAACAGGCAAGCGTATTTTGCTTTTCCAAACCTGAGCATTATTACATAATCTCTATCATTTAACATTAGAGATATCTTCTTTATTCAACAGAATAAGCTATCTAGAGAAAGAAAGAATTAGGAGAAAAATCCTTACTTTCAAATAAACGCTTCATAATAAAATTTAGCTAAATAACTCCTTTTAAGATTTTATGATAATAATTCTTTAGCCTTTGCACTACTAATATATCCAATTATATAAAAAGAATTAAGAGAAACTAAAAAAAAAAAAAAAATCCTATCACAAGTTTGTCAAGGTCATTTCTTCAATTCAATGTCAATATAGAAAACACTAGGCCAGCCAAATGACAGGGTTAAAGTGCTGTGAAAAGCTGACAACTTGAGTTTAATCCAGAACCCACATAACCAACCCCACAATATTGTCCTCTGTCCTCCACAAGTATGTCGTGGCATATCTGCAACCCTACACACACATATACAAACAAATGAAAAAATTAAAAATTAAATGGACCATTGTAAGCAATGAAATTGAATCAATAATAAATCTCTCAAATCAAACAGGCCCACGTGGATTTACTACTAAATTCTACTTGACTTTTAAAGAACTAACACCAATGCTTTTTAAACTACTCCATCAACTAGAAAGAAAAGAACACTACCAATTTTTTTATGAAGCCAGTATTACCCTGATAACAAAAGCAGAAAACAGTTATAGGCCAGTCTTCCTAATGAACACAGAAACATTTAAAAAGTTCAACAAAATATTTACAATACAATTCAAAAAAAGAGTCAAAAAGATCATCTGCCATGTCACGCCAGTCTTGTTCAAGAAACGTAGAAATGGTGCAATATACACAATCAATAAATATAATGCATCACATTACTGGGCTCTAAGACAGAAATCATGTGACCATCTCAGTAAATCCAGGAAAAGCTTTTTACAAAGTCTAATACCCCTTCATGAAAAGAAAAAAAGCTCTGAGTATAATAATAATAATAATAATAATAATAATAATAATAATGCTATATAAAATGAACCTATAACCAACACTATACCAAATGAGAAAAACTCTAAAAGTATTAGCTAAAATCAAGAGCGAGAAAGGGTGTCTATCCCTACTCTGATAGAACAGAGTGCTGTCTAGTCAGCTACAGCTAAGACAAAACACTATACGACAGGCACACAAAAAACAAGAAAACGAAACTTAGAGGACCCAAATATAAGCGCACACAGTGACTGCCACCTGACTTTTGACAAAGACGACAAAAATATACATTAGAGAAAAGACAGCCTTTTCAGCAAAAGACTCTAGAAAAGCTGGACATCCTCAAGTAGAATGGAAATCAGATCATTCCTTTTCAACACCACAAGCTGAAGAGGTGGCTATGTAGCTAACAGTGCTGGCTGTTCTATCAGGAGGACAGGAGCTCTAATCCAGGCAGTTTACAAACACCTGTAACTCCAGCTCCCAGGAATCCAAAATATCTCTGGCTCTGTAGGCATGTGCACACTCACATATGCACTCACACACACCTACACCCACACCCACACACACACACACACACACACACACGCATGCACACACACTAAAAATAGGTTATTTTTAAAAATCAATTTCAAATGGTTCAAAGACCTTTATAAGACCTAATACTCTGAAACTATTAAGAAGAGAGAGAAGGGAAAACACTTCAACATACAGACTTTCTAAACAGAATTCCAGTATCACAAGAAATAATGCTAACAAGTGACTAACAACTGGATCTCAGAAAACTAAAGTTTCCACACAGGAAAGAAAAACAATTAAGTGGAAAGATGACCTACAAAATGGGAGGAAAATCTTTGCTAGCCATACGTCTTACAGAAGGTGATTATCCAGAATATACAAAAAACTGAAAAATCAAAACACCAAACTGACAAATGGGCTAGAATGAAATGAATAGATAATTCTCAAAAAGTGAAGGATAAAACGGTCAATAAACATATGAAAACTCTTCAAACCTCATTAGCTATCAGAAAAAAATGCAAATTAAAACTACATTGAGATTCCATTTCTCATCCCAGTCAAACAGCTTCTTGAGAAAGAAACAGCAAATGTGCTGACAAGCAGATAAAAAACAAACAAACCCTTATATACACCGCTGGTGGGAGTGTGAGGTAATCCAGTCACGTAAGTCAGCATGGAAGTTCCTGAAAAGCTAAAATTAGATCTACCCTGAGATCCAGGTCTATTAATCCTTTACTAGAAGGTCTCCAGATCAACAGATCAGAGACAGTCTTGCCTCATCATACTCAAACCTTCAAATGGTCCATCACACCCATGCTGATCTATATGGCTGACTGGATGGGACAGAAGGGACAGTTAGACATATCTCAGATTTGGGTCCCTCTCTTTTGACTATCTTTTCCCTCCTGGATTACCTAGTCTGAAAGTCAATGAGTCTATGGTAAACACCTAACAAAGGGCTGAAACTTGCTAAACAATGTGTAAGTGGTATGCCCAGATCTGAGGGTCCCCAAAGACCACCAGGAGCTGGACCACATATGCAAGAGAAAAGAGCTTTATTTGAGCTTAAGCTTGGTCTCAACCATCACCAACACAGGATCAGGGAGGAGAGTCCCAAGCAGCTAGAAGACAGAGTTTAATTGAGGTTTGCACAAGGACTGGGAATGTCCAGTTTAGCAGTTAAACTACTCGGTGACATCCAGCAAGGGCAAGCTTGTTACAGTGTGATTGGCTAACTAACACAATTAACATTGAGAGAGCTGTCTATAGACCTCAGGAATGTTAGGTATTTTCCTGTGCCACGAAAGTTCTACTACAAGGTTGGTGGGCTGTACAGCACCGATGCCCCACCCTGAGAGAAGATACCTTCCCATATTGTGGTTATCTCCAGATTGTTTCTTGAGTGGGATTATTTTATGGTCTTGTCAGCAGTTTAACTAGTGACCTACAGTCTAGTTTTTCTTTTAAAGTCAGGCCTGGTCCTAAAATGAGACAAAATGGAGTTTATGTCCTCCTCTCATAAGCTTAGACATAGAATTGAAAAAATTACCAAAAATGACTAAAACTATACCAGATGTGATCACTGTATTTAGGTTCAGAATCTACTTTGAAAGTGGCAAAACAACTAGCTCTAGCATGATTTATGACTGTGACAAGAAAAACAAATCCACATAGAAGCACAGGTTTACAAGACATGGCCTAATAAAAAGATCTCCAGGAAACAGGCAAAGAAACACAAGAACAGAATGAAGTTACATGAAGGCAAAAATAAATGAAGCAAGCCACAAACTGGATACCAGCAGGTGTAAGCTCTGCAATGACTCTATCTGCTATGATAAAGTTATGATCAGTTAGGCCGTTAAATGACTGCAGCCCAAGCCACAGCTTAACTGTGATTTATATAAGAACAAAGGACTCTGAGACAGAGCCACTCAACTAAGCTGATCCCAACATTTCTTGCCCTTCAGGAACTGTGAGAGACTTAACAAATTTCTGTTATCTTAAGCTACTAAATTCTTGGACAGCTTGCCACATAGCTATTAACTATTGTGGTGATATAATATTGTATCATAAAAACATCAAATAATACTAGATTCCTACATGGTGCTTACAGCAGCTACCTAAGCAGGAAAAAGCCATTGAGCATTGTCTTAATCAAGAGAAAGGAGAAAGGAGAGAAGTTAAACATAATAACAGAAAATCACCATATAATAGCCCCTTTTTATTTGCAGGGAATCTGCCCGTCAAAATGCTACTACCCCACCCAGCGAATGCCTAAAACACAGACGGACTGAATTCTTTACATGGGCAGTTCTCAACCTTCCCAACACTGTGACCTTTAATACAGTTAATACACCTCATGTTGTGGTGACTCCAAGCAGAAAATTATTTTGTTGCTACTTCATAACTGTAATTTTGCTGCTGTTATAAATCATAATGTAAAAATGTGGGATATCTGATACGCAGGATACCTGATATGCAACACCCAAAAGGGTTGTAATCCACAGATTAAGAACCAGTACTATATATATTTTGGTTTTCCTATATAGCATTGCTACACTAACCAGGATTAACTTGGCCTTCCATGTTTTAAGCCCTGATGCTTTCTTTGTTTTACTACTCTTGTATTTGGGACTCATTAAGTAAAAATAAAGGTAATTTAACATAAGAGACTGTAATATCTTAGACATTCCATCTGAAAACCAAGAATAACAGGAAGTGACTGACAGATAAGGTCACATATGGCAGCATGGATGCAACAAAGAGACGACTGACCTTCTGACAGGACAGTGTAATATCAATTTCATCACATGACTCAGACCAGCCAGCAATCTGAGACTCTTTTACTTCTAGAATATTTCACTTAACATTTTTCACATAACTGAAACCATGGAAAGCAAA